TGATAGCTTCCAGCTTGTTACTCAAGTTATCAGTACTCAAGTGGACCTTATTGTTGGTTAGAAAGTAATTCAAATTATTTAGCGTTTATTTACTTTGAGGTCGAGAAAGCACCCTTAATCTCTGATAGGCTAACATGCACAGCTTATAACCTTACTTAGTAAATATATCGATTTGCATTTGCGTTATCGGCAAATTTTACAGGTTATCAGAGATGTGACAATCAGCAGCTAAATTATACTCAAATCACCTATTACAACTTATACTTGATTATTCATGTAATCACAATAAAACACTATTCAACTGCTCTCTTATGATATCTCTATGTACTGTCCTATTATACAACATGCACTCTGACAAGTTCATCCGATTTAAAACCATATGCGTCATGTTTTTTTAATGGAGTATGATTGACTACTGATAAAAAGCAAGCTGTCTGCTGTATATTGAAGTCAACGCAAAAGTTCGTTTTGTGGTTAATCAGATACCACCATTGTATGAATAATCTAATTTTGTCATGGGTTTCTCTCGCCATACAACAAGTTCAGGTAGTGGGGCTTTCCTTTTATACCCCAGCACCGTCAAATTTAGGTAGAGAAACTTTGTTTAGTTTTGCGCAACTTATGTTGAAATGTGGTCTATGTCAACCTCGTACCTCTCGTTTCTCAATTTTCTTCATCGCAATGGATTCATTTCGTAAACTGGAACTCTATTTTCCACGATGTTTACATCTTAAAAACTTTATCGTTTTTTGCCCTATAGTTCGCACATTTCTTGTACTACCTTCCAATCATGCGAATCCACCGTATACATCCAATGAAATTGAAACGAAGAGCTTAATTTTTTCTCTATACTGTACTTCCAGAAGAAGGCCAGTAACAAGTGAACGTAATGTTACATGAGCCGCTTTGTTGCTCCTACAGTTTGAATATTGATATTTAGCAACCAACTTTTCTCCCCTGAGATGCTAAAAATAAGTTTATCTGCTGGATCTAAGAAAAGGAATAAAAAAACATGTTATACTTGCTGTCCTCCAAACACAGCTTTTTTATCAACTCGGTATTGCAAATAAAATTATACTATGTTTAGCTAATCCAACAAACTGTTGCTTATATGCATATTGGGGTTTCTTCCCATAACCATATCACTGGTTACATGCAGCAGGTTTCATCATAAATATAAATCTAGCACCTTTCAATTTTGTCCTCAGAATTTTTAACTAGCTAATGATATATAAAAACAATTCGAAAAAAATTGCGCAACCTCTCATATTCGGAACTTCTAAAAATTTAAATTCTGCTTAGCCTTTATGCGCATACGAAATGAATATGTAGTAAATGAGTACGTGCTCTTTAGATGAACTGTCCCTCATGCCTCGCAAATCCGACTGAATTAATTCAAATTTATTCAATAAAAAGGTGAGGATGCCTTTTGCATTGTAATATGACTATCCCATTTGTATTGTAAAGTATTTGAATGAGTAAAAATTGATTGAAATTATACACAAAGGGAAGGATGTTTAGAAATTCAAAAATAAGAGGGATTTTTTTAGCTAACTTCAAAAGTTTTATCCGCTGAACGATTATTTAACAAAAAAAGTCATGGAATTTTTTTATATATTAAATTTGCTCACAGCTGATA